TATCTCAATGTGCCTGACGGTCCTTAACCCAACAGCAGGACCAATATCAGTTCCTTTATGCAAGGACCTCCAGGAGGCCACTGGTGTGAATGTCTCTGACCAATTATAAACGGACTTCATGAGTGTGGCCTGAGGGCATGGCGTCCTCTTGTGGGCCCTGTGCTCATTGCCTGGCACAGTGTAAATCATGATTTACCACAGAACACAAGAATTGGCAGATCCACAACTGGTGCCCTCTGCTTTTCATAGGACACCATCCATCATCTCATTAGGAGTTTGTCTTAGTCTTATCTTCCTTTATTTTTAGCTGTTTATCAACCTACACTCTCTTGGATGCTATCGAGCTAATCATGGTAACAACTATGTAAGGAAAAACAAGCATATTGAGATTAGTTAAGAGGTCAAAGGTCAGCAGAGACTGACATGGTGAAAAATGTCTTCAGCCACGCCTCTTTTCTGTCCACAGAAACATGCACACAATGCCTGACAACACAGACTAGTTAAAGACAGACAGACAGAAAAGCTCAGCAACTCATACATTTTATATTCACCAGAGTCACAGGTTATTCTGCTGACATGGGTGGGATGGGTGGGGAGTCTGAAAACCAAAAGACACAAAGGAGGGAACATCTGTGATCATGGGGACTGATTGTTTTCTCTGAAAAGTGAGACAAGACTGAAATGTAAGTGAAGTGCTTTGGGAAAACATACCATTTATTTTTGATCACAACAACTGATTTAATTTCATTCTACCAGCTTACATAAGCTTTAACTGCCATTATTCTTTAACATATTACCAAATGACTGGCTAGAACTGCCGTATATCAAAAGTACAGGCTAGTAGTGTAATGATTGTGGACAGTGTTTTCTTGGTGTTCCACAGGCCCTTTATGGCCAGTTCATGATGATCTGAACTTTAAACTATGTCTGAGTCATAATGCTAATGTGTATCCTGATATGGGTATAGTGTTTGATCTAATAGCTACTTTTAGCATGACAATGCATAATTTTACCAAAGTGAAATCATCTCACTCTGGCTTCCAAAACATGACGATTAGTGTCAATGGATTTTAGGTGCTTCCCCAGACAACAGATCTTAATGGAATGGAGCATCTTTGGGTTTTACTGGAATAGTGGAATCTTAAAGGAACATAGAGTCCAGAGAGTACGTGCCCATGTCACGGGTTCCTCATGGCAAAACTTGTCTTGGTTTTCAGCACCAAATGTTGGATCTCGACCAGGCATTCTCAATCCATTGCACTGAATCAATCCATAGAAGGAATCGTGGGCAGCATGATGGTGTGGTGAGTTCAACTCCACCATCTGGCCATGGCTTTTCTGTGGTGCGGAGTTTGCATGTTCTACCACCAAGTACCATAGGCATAAATGGTTGTTTGTCTTTCTGTGTTAGTCCTGCAACAGCAACCTGTCCAGGCTTTACCCTGCCTCTTCCCCTGTGTTAGCTGGGAAACGTGACTTGTTTTCAGTAGCCTTTTATTACCAAAACAAAACACTTCATTTTGTTTGTTTAGGTTTGTTGACGTTGTCCTTCAATTAAGTGTGTGTGTCCAAAAACTTGAGATCTGCAGCTTGTATATTTAAGGGTTTTCCCCAGCTATTTCCACCTCGAAGTGAAGATATGGGTAGGCGTATTAGGTCAGATCTAGTGTGATCTATCATTATCATTATTCTTGGCTTCTACTCATCCACCACGATAAATACTAAGATTCATCTTCTTTTTTTGACTATATGTTACATTTTACTTAATATTTTAAAATATATTATAACTTGCATGAAACAAATCAACAACAAATAATTGGCATGTTTTTCTTGTTTGTTTGTTTAAAGTGTGTAGTAGGATTGGTTCATGTGTGTTTGCAGAGAAGCAGAGCATACAGAGCATGCCCCCAACACTCAAGACAAGATTAATGTCTATAGACAGACGTTCATCCATCACCTAGGCTGGGTCCTGGCATCTGTCCCAGACTAAAGCTGACGGGGGTCACATAGGGCGTCCTCCCATGTGTGCAGACCAGACATTGGCCTTCCCCTCATTCTTGGTCACATTTACAATTACAGAAGATCTAGAAGAAGATAGTATTAGGAACAGTCCCAGGGTTGTATTTGACACAATTAACATTGTTGTTTGTCTCCCACCTTAGCATGCTCATTATTGTTCTCAGTCTTTCTCAAAATAAGGCTGTGTACCTGAGATCCAAAATCTGAATACTTTATTAATCCCTAAGGAAATTATGTGGGTTACAGTTGCTCCAAGACAGTAACAGTAATAGACTAAACTACTTAATTAATACAATATGTTACAGAGTTAACACATTTAAGAAATAGCACTAATATATACAAAGCGCTCAATTATAAATATCAAGAATATTAGACGGGTGGGAATATCACAGAGGTGAAATATATATGATTGACATGTACCTCTAACCTGTGAACTTTGTCATTTGCTATTTTACTGTACAAAGGTACTGTGCAAAAGGTGTAACTATTTCAGTCTACATTGCATTAGGTGGAGTTGTTGTACAGGGAGATGGCCATGGGCAGGAATGATTTCCTGTGTGGTTCAGTGGTGCTTTTTGGAAATCTCAGTCTCTCACTGAACGTGCTCCTGTGACTAGCCAGCACGTCATGGAGTGGGTGGGGGGTATTATCCAGCATTCTATTTATCTTGGACAACATCTGCCTCTCAGACACTATCCTAAGGGAGTCTCGCTCCATCTCCACAACATTACTGGCCTTGCGGATCAGTTTATTTAGTCTGTTGGCATCTGCAATCCTCAACCTGCTGCCCCAGCACGCAGCAGTATAGAGGATGGCATTGGCCACAACAGACTCATAGAAAATCCTGAGCATTGTCAAAAAGATGTTGAAGGACCTCAACCGCATCAGAAAATAGAGTCGACTCTGGCCCTTCTGTAGAGTGCAGTGGTGTTTTTAACCCAGTCCAGTTTATTGTCAGTGTGTACTCCAAGGTATTTATAGTCCTCCACAATGTCCACATTGACCCCCTGGATCGAAACAAGGGTCAAGGTTTTCCTTCAGTCTCCCCCCTTATGAAGATGGCCTGAATCATTTATCTCATTTTTCATTAGACTGGATTGCCTCATATATATTTGATGGGACTTTCTCTGTTAAATCATTGCATTTGTTCCAAGACTCTTGTGCACTGGTAGAAGGCAATGTGCCTTCTACCAGTGCACAAGAGTCTTTTGGACAGGTGTCCATCCTAGTTCAGTGTCAGGCCTGGATAAATGACTGGGTTTACTCCATATTTATATTCTGTTTTTCTAAACATATACATTGATAATAAATAATAAACTAGGAAAATGAATAGCATGTCAGTTATTTTGTGTCCTTTCCCAGTTTGTTATACTTTTATACAGTCTGCTGCTGTCTGCTGAGCTGCCTGGGGATGCTTCATTCACTTGGAAATAAGAGTTCACATGTACCATTATCCCAATGACATGGATAGGAGAAAATGTGTGGCTGAATTTAAAAAGAAGAAAAAAAAAAAATAGAATCAATAATCTTAGCTATGGATTAAAAACTATATATTTCACATTCAAGCACCACATTTTCATTTTTTTTCTTACTAACAAAAGCCACATGGAAATTATAACCAGAACCCTAAATACTAAACTGAGAGTACAACCAAGCAATCTTTTACAAGAGAAATGACGCAAAGCTCAAAACACCATACAACAGTAACAAGAAAGAGCCAGAAAGGAAAACATGATAGAGAAGACCTATACAG